TGGGTCGTGACCTGACCCCACTTATACCTTCACCTCTCCTGTCCGTCTCCCCTCTGCCTCCCTCCACCTCCCCGCTCTACATCTTTTCATCCCCCTTTTACCAAGTCAGTCCCTGTGGACCCTCTGCCACCTCTAAGTCACTGGACGTGGCGCTGATATTGGACTGCCAGACGGTCTCCTTCACACTGCAGCCGTACATGAACACATTCTTCTTCCTCGAATGGCCGTGGTAGTCGCAATAGACCTACACACACACACACACACACACACACACACACACACACACACACACACACACACACACACACACACACACACACACACACACACACACACACACACACACACACACACACACACACACACACAGGCTCTTGTAGCCCCTTAGCTTAACGGTATTTATAACGATCTGACCCTGAGACCTCTCTTTGTTAATGGTCTTCAGCCCCTCCCAACACAAACACACAACCTGACAGACAATAACCTGTGTTCTTGTGTGCACCATGTTTTTCTTCTTCCCTTTGTTACGTTGAGATAATCTCAGAATGGTAAACATTCCCACTAAGTGAGAACCGCAAACAGACAAAAACGAACAGCTTTATTTCTTGAATGCGGAGTTTCTCCAGTGAGGGAGAAAACCAAGTCCTCCTTCGACAGCCCCATATTAGGCCTTTCAGCTGTAACATTGCAAAACTGCTGTCTCCCATTTAGAAATAATGATATAGTCTCAATTTGAAGGGAAACCAAAGATGTCCATTTTTTATTAAAATAAATAAAATGTAAAACACTTACAGTATTTACCAGCTGTCAGCTTGTCTAATGTGGAACAATAACCTTTTAGATGCAGGATTGGTATTTTGAATGAAACAGATATAAAACAATTCAATATCTACATCTGTTTTTTGTAACTCTTCATAGAACTTGAAGGAATATATTTGCCTGATGATAGTAATTTCAACAAAGGTATCTTTAACATTTGCATTATAACAAATCTTTGAACAAGTCTGTTTTATTTTTCTTCTTCAAATATACAAAATAAGTAAAAAATGTAAACAACAATATAAATAGGGCTCTGTTAAATGTATGACAAGTTGACGTTTTTGAGAAGGTATCTTTTTTTTCACTAAGCAATTTGTAAGGCGTGTCAAATTAAAAACTAGTAGTCTGTGGAACATTTGCAAATCAGCAAAGAGCAAGAACGTGTTTTAGTTCAGCCCGGGACTTGGTTGGTATTCTCTGCTCGTCCATCATCACTCTATAGTATCCATTCATTCAGAGTGACACATTAGCATACTAGTCTGAACCTGGACACAGAAAGATGCTGCTGGAAAACATATCTGCTCAACAAACAAGCACACAAACACTTACCACACGTATAGGTGTGCACAACACACACAGACAAAACAAACTATTGTGCTATTGCTCTCATTCCTTTTCTCTTTCAAGGCCTTTTCAATCCTCATGAGTTACCAGCATCCCCCCCCCCACACACACACACACACACACACACACACACACACACACACACACACACACACACACACACACACACACACACACACACCCATACACACTTGTTTCCCTCTTTCACTCCCCCTAAATCAGTGAAGAATGCATAAATGCGAGCACCATGAAACATAAAATCCCTCCCCACAAGCTTTTATAACAGTACTTGTACTGTAGGACAATGAACTGAAAAGCCGTAATTTGCTAACCCCTCCATGTACTTGAGTGATTAAGATACATTTCAAGTGTCGTCATCAAGTTATTTTGTTTTGATTGTATCATCTGCAATGCAAAAGACATTGTGATGACAGAACGACAAAAATATAGACCTGGTTGATCTTTGATACAGTAAAAAACAAACAAAGGTGAAAAAGTCGTAGGTGTCTCCACCATCCAGTTTGTGCACATTTCCACAATTTAGCCATATCTTTGTAATCTTGAGGGTTTGTTTGCTATCAGGGCAGAAGCAGTCACACAATTTAACATGAACAAATACAAAGTTGTGTAATTTGCAACAAGTCCTCTCCATGCCCTCAATGTTGTGTTTTCTTATCTGAGGTCTGAGGGTTACGAAACTGTTACAAATGAAAAAATATGTTTCTTTTACAATGTGTTTGCCATGATTACATGTAAGGCATAAATACAAAACGATCACTTGGAGGTTGAAATGAGTGCTTACTTTGAGTAAAGGTTGGGAGGGGATTATGGTCATGCTTACAAAAACAATGTGAAATTGCAGGAGGAAATAGGAAGCAAACAGAGGTTTCCTGTGTTAGACTCTAATAACTGTTGACCCATCTATCCATCCCAATCTCCATCTTACACATTTTGATGGACGGTTAAACTACAGAGACCAGTCAATGCTTTTAGAATATATCTTTATTGTCATCATACAAAGTACGATGACATTTCTTTGGCAACTCTCACTGCAGTAATAAATACGCAAACAGGCATGTGGATATATTTCAAAGACACAAATGTGAACCTATCCTTAAAGGTGGTAAGTATTAAGGTAAATGTTAGGGATGAACGACCACAGACAGTTATGTTGGAAAGTGTTCAGTAAAATTGTTTCAGTATTTGTGTTTATGTGTGTGTTAACCATTATGTGGGAGAGGGTGAGAATGAACATGTGCCAGTACACACTTGCAAATGTAGCTGCTATGTGGCGCTGATATTGTTTGCTTTGTCACTCCAGCCAAAGACGCAGGCAATTAGCTGCAATGCCATGAAGGTGTACTGTAACTTGTGAAGATGGAATAGAGTTCCTGGATTGTTTTCGCGGTCTTAATTACTAACTAACAACACCTCAGTTCTCCTGCCAAAATAAGTAATTGTTCTGTTAAAGGGTTGGTCTCAAGGCGTCTAACTCATGCCATTGCCCTTCTTCTGTTTTCAGAGCAATAATTGATATGGGCACTTTGTTATTGCATTACAAAATGTCTGTTATATGAAGTATGAATTTGAAATCCTAGTGTATATAGACTAAAAAAGGAGTTTGGATTTAGAAAGGCCCCTTCTCCAGAGATATTTTCAACAAATAATAGCCGTATTAAAGCAAAGACAACTGTTTTCCAGTCTTGGGTTTTTACTCTTCCAGGTGCCTATATTATTGACATTCGTCTTTTTGAGATATCCATTAATTTCCTCGGTTACCCTCCAGCTTTGTAGAAATGTGCTATTATTGTTGTCTTACCTTGACTTCATCATTAAATGCTGCAGAGCCTAACCTAAAAAATAAACAGCACTCAAACATGAAAACAACCACTGTTGACAAAGGAACTAGTGCTATTATGCAGGCTTGACCCTTTAATGGGACTTTTACAGGCTTTGTTACTCATTTTCCACAAATGGAAACCTGCAAATGTGTTCTCAAGTCAGCACAATGGGGGCTGCTATTTCCCCATCCACATATCCCTCAAACAACAGCCTTGAGTATGGCATTTTGGCCGGTAGCTATTTTGTTTTATTGGAGCAAGAAGTGATCATTTTAAATGGAAAGCAAGTTTCAGTACTAGTCCTGAAATACAGGTCAACTGTGATAGTAATTGTGATGCTAATTTTGTCTTACTTATAGGCTGAAAACTCAATGTACTAAAAATGACTAGAAGATTCCTGAAAGTTTAGATTTTCAGACTGAAAGCAGCCCTGCAATAGAAAGTGTAAGTGGATGCGTTGTTTGGTAGAGGTGATACAGGAAATAACATCTATTTGGTTCAGTTTGGTTGGAGTAACAGAGCCATGAGTTTTATGGCTTATGCTTTGCACTTAAAACAATTTACCACAATTTGTAATATTATGAGAAAGGATTTTAACGCTAACTTATCAAAAGTTTTATCTTCAATCCCAACAACCACAAGATAAACAGAATGAAAAAACTGAGTGTTGTCAAATGACATTTCAAAGCGGAGCCAGGTTGAACTGTTTGATGGACAGCCCTGCATTTTTAGGCACTCTCTGTAAGCACTCTGGTCAAATTGTCTGTTTCGGAAAATAACTGAAATTCAACCCAATTCTGGCACTGGAGAGGAGAAGGAGGGTAGGCGTCTCAGACGTCTCAACCATCAGACAAGCACAAAGCATTTGCTCCAAGAATACTGATCCCTTAACTCTTTAGAGCCCTATTCGACCTGTGTCAGATACAAACTATAACTCTGTACTTCTATGAGCGTTGTAATGAGTCTGCCATTTCACAAGTCACTAAAAACTTAGTGGCGTATTAGTTTAAAGGTCACCTATTATGCAAAATCCACTTTTTCATGTACTTTATACATAAACATGTGTCCCCTCTGTGTAAAGAGATTCTGAAAGTTTCAGGAAAAAAGATTCACTCACTTTTTGTCCTGATCCATTTATATAAAAACCTGTCTGAAAATGAGCTGGTCAAATGTTGGCCACTTTATGATGTCATAACGATTTTTTGGCTTGTGTAACCATTAGCCAATCACCAACCAAGGTAACCCCCGCCCACCTTATCACCTGAATCTTCTCCTAGAGCACCATTGTGTTCTTTTTAACCGAATATCTCTCAGAGGGGCGTGGCTCCTTATTTTCATCTAAAGTAACAGACAGAGAATCAGCACTTTTGAAACAGGGCTGAAACAGAGGGGATTATGGGATGCTGCAATGATCTGTTTGGTATTTAGAGCCAACACTTCAGAGACATGTTTTGTATATATTTGAGACCTATAATATATTTATGAAAAACAGTATAATAGGGGACCTTTAAATAAAAACATGAATACTGTTCATTTTTTAACTAACACACTCAAACTGATGTTGTGAAACACAACCATCCTCCTCTTGAATGTCTATTGTGATCAACAGGAACAACCTAATCTCCTCACTCCTCAGTCTCTGCTAATAACATCTTAACATCCTAAATCCTTCTCTTGTGTCCTTTAACATGTCTTCTAGGTGTAGTATATGTTCTAGCTCACAAGCAGGACCTTATGGGAAAAAAAGATAACCAAACTGAACTCTCTTTCTCTCAGGACCATCTTCTGTGATCAGTAACGATGATGACTCGGCCTCTCCTCTTCACCACGTCTCCAACGGCAGTAACACTCCCTCATCCTCAGAGATGGGCCCCGATGCTGTTATCATCGGCATGACCAAGATCCCGGTGATAGAAAACCCTCAATACTTTAGGAACACAAACAGCCTGCTCAAAACCAACACATGTAAGTAAAAAAAAATTTATTTATCTGTACCCAAATGAACTATGTTAACAATGTTTAGGAATCCATTATGAGCTTAATTCTCCAAGCTTTTCAAGCTAATCGTCCTTTTGTGATGAGAAGAGGTAACCATGGGAATATTCGTTTTCTGCCGGCATGGCAATGACCTTGGGGCTGCTCATGATAAGCTGTCATTTCTGAGGGAGAAGTGGGAAATAGAAAGTCTATTTATATGCAAGTGTGTGTTTGTGTCTATGTGTGTGTGTCCTGGCATATGTTGAGAACAAATCCATTCATAAATTCTAGATGTCCATGTGTGACTCATACTGTACACACACATAACCAGAGCTGAAGGTAGCAAAACAAAGAGTCTGGGAGCCCCTACAGGTAGAAGTCTTATAGATAGAATCGGAGGATGACACCCTCTTTAATTGTCACACATACATGCACACAGCACACACAGTGACATTTGACCTCTGCATTTAACCCATCCTAGTACTAGGAGCAGTCCTATTTTATTACGGGTAAGTACCAAAGGACCAATTCATCTAAGGTTCCGCACATGTTCTCTCCACAAATTCAATGAAAAACTGATAAAATGGTAAATAGTAAACGGTCAAAGGAGAAAAAAAATAGAAAAAAGAGAAACATGAGGAGAAAAGGAGACAACAGTCAAACAGACAGACAGAGAGCACACGAGGATATTGACCTGGTCCATCAACATGACATTAGGGTTATTGACTTTGGCCTTGCGTTGCAGTAAATGATGGAACAGCATGTTTGTACGTGCTCTTTTTTTAGGGCAAGGTTGAAGGAAATATAATGATGGGGGGGGGACTGGAGATTGACCTCTTCAGTTGTCCGTTATAACTAAAAGATAGACTGGGATTTACCGCCTAAAGACAAGAATGAAAGCGCCGAGGATCAATAACAGCCAATAACGTACTGCTGCGAATGTGTATGTGCCTGTGTGTTTGATATATTATAGCCATTACAACTATTACTCTGTATGTTTCTTTGACTCGCAGACAGGCAACATAAATACCGAATGTTTCTGACTGATTATTTGGCCTCAAAGGCTGAATTTGGCCCTGATTTTGATGGAGACAGCTTGGCAAAGTGGCACTAAGTTAAATGCCAGGACCCAAACTCTTTTTGGCCTTAACCAGCTTGTGGCCTTTACTATTGAATATATATTTATACTGATCGCACAGGCCCTCTTCCTGGCAGCAATAAAGCAACAATTACTCTGCAGAGATGATGGATCAACGTGTTATAACGGGATCTGTTGGCTGTGTTGCAAAGCTTCAGTTGTAGCTTACCTCTGAAGTGAACACCTCATTAACAAAAACAGGAGCTACAGTGGTTGGAGAGTGTGTTACATGCATTATCAAGACTTAAAGCGCACATAGTCTTTTAGTCTCTAATCCGACTCATGCACACAGGCTGTCAGTGTGCATGTCAAGCAACTAATTCCGGACTATAGTGAGGATTTTAGAAATATTAGGGTCATCAATTGCCATCGTCAATCCCACCAACAACCCCAGCCAGAAGAAAAACCCTGATTGAGCTAGCTGTTAACTGTTTCATTTAATGGAGCAGCTCTTTTGAGCCCCCCCGTACTATATCACATTACATTTACTTCGAAGAGCAGCTCTCAAGAGATTATTTTGAAATTCCTGCACATAAAGTAGAGGGTTGCCTTTATTACCGAACATCACTTCTAAATGATGTTGTTATTATAGTGTTGGCCTCAAAGGAAGAGTTTGACACTTTGGAATTATACTATATTTTCTTTCTTGCTGGGAGTAAAATGAGAAGACGCTTATGTCTGTGTGGTAAACTGTAAACTGAAGACCGGTAAGCGGCCTCTGGGCAAAGGTAACCCAATGCTTAGTAGCACCTCTAAAACAAGGCTCAGGTCATCCACATCAGTCACTACTCTGACGAGTCTGAGTAGAGTATTTATGTTTTTTTGTCTCTCAATGAGCATTACATAATAGGATTTGGCGCAAAAAACAGACCCACAAAGCATGGGATTAACCAGGAAATATGTGACCATTTATCAGCCGTTTCCTAAACTAGGCTCAAGAGCTTCCTGGTACACATTAACCACACAGATATGAGATACATTCTTTAATTTCACTATAGCAATATCAAACATTTTCTTACGGGAGTCCAATTTTAAAATAATAAATACGCTTTTAAATCCTTGCTTGTGTAAGACTTTCCTTGCTGAACTCATTCTAAGGTTAGAAAGAAATGATTAAAACTCAAAGAGTACAAGAATGGACAAGAATACAAAAAGCTTGACCTCAGTTTCCCCGATAGTATGGCACTGAACTGAAGGAAAGATTTATTTTTGTTCCATCTTTGTTATGTCACACCTTACACTTGGCTTTGTCTACAGTTACTCTCAATTTTTCCACTGTTTCCATCCCAGCAAATCCAATGGGGTTTGTATTTTGATGTATCTAGGGAATGGGGATTAACATTGCTCTGGAAAATGTTATTCACAAGTCAACACATGCGTACAGTACTTAAGAAAAACACACAAACACACACGCTCAAACTCACTCACACACAAAGATTATGAAAATATAGGTCACAATTAGCTACACCCCCTGATTGGAGGACACATAGTTGAGAGAGGTTGCTGACTAGGAGGAGGACAAATTCAAGAAATTAACTGCATGTGGAATTTGATAGAGAGAATTTGACCTATATATCACATTGCTTGGTTAAAACTAGCAAAAACACAATAACCAAACTGCCCTCCGTCAGCATTCAGGTTCATGGAAATATTTTGGGTTGATGAGAGAAGTAGGAGGG